GTATATTGTTAGGGGCTACAATGGCAACAACCCTCCAGCATATAAATTTGCCGAGGATTGGCAAGAACGGGCGATAAAGTAAAGCTTTACTTGGAGAAATCGGCTAAGCGTATAAAACAGTGGGCGGTTAAGAAACAGACTTGCCGAGAGTTTGAAGAAGGAGACCAAGTCTTGGTGAAGCCCTATGAACATGGATAGAGAAGTGACCTTCACAAGGGTCTCATGCACAGGTATGAGGTCTTTTTACCATTCTCTAGAAAGTAGCTTTTGCTGCTTATAAGTTAGAATTGTCAGAGGCCTTCTCAAGACTACACCGGATCTTCATGTGAGCCTATTTAAGCCTTACTGCAAGGACCCATAGGACGAAAAATGGAACAATTCCCCAAGGGCACCCCCAAGGCACCTGCTAGAACTAGAATGAATAGTAATAAAATCAATATAAGAACATTTACTTTCATAATCTAAGCTTTTTTTATTTTATAAGAACTCGGGATTTAATCTCCTAAAGATGATAACTTCCATAATCTAAGCTTTTTTATTATATAATAACTCAGATTTAATCCCTAAAGATGATAACTCTTTCAAATCAATTACCTATTAATTAATGTTTTTAAATCTAGTCAGAATGAACAAACAAAACCCAACAACTAGAATTCATTAGTAACTAACATTTGAACAAAATTCTTTGTTGTTTTGTGTGAATCAACAGCAATACTTAGGGCTGGAAGTCTCCAACATGATCCAGAATTTCGACACGAACCCGACACTAAATAAGCGGGTTACGGTTGAGAATTTGGACCCGTATAATAAACATGTCAGGTTAGGGTTGACCCGTTTATTATACAGGTCAGGTTTCGGTCAACCCGTCGGATTGTCCGGGTTACCCGCATAAATGTAATTTATGTAACATGTAGGGGTAGTTTATTAAAGGCATCAAAGAACACTTTTTCATTCATTTATATTTTTTGATCAAATTTGTTTCTCGAATCATGCCTAGAATTCGAAGAGGGAGACTTTGAGACCTTGCAATAAGTATATGATGTTGGTCGCATTAAAGCATCAGAAGACATCCCAAATACTGAAAACAAATCAATATATACAAATCTCTTCGCATATAATACCTTCAGCTTCAGAAGACCTTCAGAACAAATGATAATAGAGGTTTATCCTTACATTTCTTAATTGTTTTATAATGTGATTATTTAAAATTTATTTATTTTTATTTTTATTGTTAAAGACCATGGATGACAAAGAAATATGTCTGGCAGACAATGCAACTCCTCACAATATACTTAGAGACCGAAAATATTTTTTTTTCCTCTCCTAACTGAAAAATCCTCATATTAGTACTATAGCCGGTACTACAAAATTGATTGAATGCTCCAGAGAAGAGCATATATAATTAGATAAAACCAATGCTTCAGTAGAGCATTAGTTACTAAATATCTCAATAAAATTATATGTGTGCTCCTGAAGAGCAAGAACGCTTGTGGTGAGTGTATGGCTCGATACTAGAATGAGGAAGTTGAACATCGCGTGCCTATAAGAGCAATAATAAAGTGGTCTAGTAGAATCATCTATTGCATTTGTTCAATTAAAGTAATTATATCATGTATAATTGAGCAGGTGTTGAAACACAAAAAGGCACCAATTATATGCATAAGACCGAACGGGTTATTCTAAATATTCTTCCAAATATTGGTTTTCGGTCAGAAAACATCCATATCCATCTTTAAGATATGTAAATGTGTAGTTTATATATGATAGTTGCTCTACCACAATGCACACAAAATGGAGCCTCTAGAAAAGGTTAGAAATATATGTTGAATATTGAATCTCTAATTTTTGAAAATATTGGTGTTAGATTAACTACTCGATGAACTGATCATATTAGTTTGACGAGTTACTTACTCTCAAAAGGGAGATTATTAACTGCTCGGTTGGTTAATCGTCATTTTGGCGAGTTAGCTATCCCAACATCAGAGGGAGAAGTTAAAACAACTGATTCATAAATAAAATGAACAAGATCATTATCTCATCAGGTCCTCCATGATATGAACCTGAAGTTCAAGAGACAATGTTTCAGACCAGATGTTTACTTGACCGAATGTGTAAATATATAAAAGACTGTTAAAACGCAGAATTTGATAATGTGTCCCTGAAGGACTATCTACCACTATTCTTTAGCTAAATGTACATTTGATGAGTGGTAGAACTATCAATTCCAACGATAAAAATCCTCGTGAATGACAAAGTGTAAATCTATGGATAGAAAATACGAGTGATTAGAATTCATAAGAATATTTCAATTGGAATAGTTTCCCACTATGATGAATCAACTTCCAGAAGAAGTATAAAAATACTTGGGAACTTTAATGATTGTAGAGATCTCATTATTAAAGAAAGATGGAATCGATCAGCAATAAAATGTCGACATGAAATTTGTTTATGCTGCAGCAGTTAGTAAAATGAATGACAATGAGGATCATGAAATGAAAGTCTGTGTTGGATACGAACTTTAAACTTATTGGCCATAATACAGGAAAAGACGCAATATACACCTATATGTGTTGTACATACATTTTGGAATTGCTTGAAGTAATAGAAGTTTTGAAAGGTAATACACCGGGTAAATGTTGTTGGGTGATTGTGCAAACGATTAACAAGCAACCAACTTATTGTAAAAAATTTTCCGAAGTCCGGATGTTAATAATTTAGAGATAAATTCTCTTGTGGTGGATGAAAATATTCATTCTTCCGTTATTTACTAAATCTGGCAGCAAATGAAGAAATAAAATGCGTCTAGTGAATATAGTGATCACTTGAAACAATACTTGATATTTGTCATTTAAAAATGGCGTTTATATGAAATTCCAGAAGGATTCAATAAGGGACATGGTTCCGATTCTCGAGAAATTAATATGAAAGACTTGAGCAAGTTATAGTATCTTCATGTGTCTATACAAATATTTAGGTGCATATTTTTGAACATTTTGGTTATTACTGTTTATGCACTTGATTTTATATGTTTATCCGGATATGTCATATTTGTCTGTAAGGTGATTGTTTGTGTTTTCTATGAGATATTGATATAAATTTTTCATAAATTATATGTGTATTCGCTATTTGGTTAGCATTGAAATTTTAAAGTGTTTGAACAGGCTAAATATTAATGAAACTCAATTCAGAGTTTGAATAGCCTGAATATTGTTAAAACTCCTGAAGAGTTTATCACGGTTATTAAGACTTCAAAAAGGAAGTTCAAAAGATGTTAAAGTTGAAAAGGTTGCTACTTGCCTAAAGCAAGAATAATAAAAGACTTTGGGTAGAATCTCGGTCATAGTAGTTTGGCCTAAGTTTATATATATTTAACACCCGTTGAGCGCACTAGACTATGGTCTGATGTGCATAAAATCTTTTTTATAACCTTATAATAAAATGTAAACCGATTTGATCATTAAGTACCATATTGTAATACTTATAAGTATCGGTTTATTACCCAAGGCATTAGAGGATTGTATATATAATACCTTCTTGGTATGCTTATAGATCTCTGTTGTTATAAAACACTCAAGATTACACCAGTATATGAAGATGATCGTCTGCAGAGAAATCGAAGTGATATGTCCATTATTGACTTCAACAATAGTGAACCTGGTCAACCTATGGGCGAGAAGATTACAAGTGATGTACTCAACAGGGGGAGTAACACCGCGCTATACGCTTTTTCCCTTGATCGAGGTTTTGTCCCAATGGGTTTTTGTGACAAGATTTTTTTTTAACGAGGCAGCGTCAGATTCGGAAATGTACTCTTTTTCCTTCACTAGGGTTTTATCCCAAAGGGTTTTTCCTGGTAAGGTTTTAACGAGGCATTGTTCCGCAACGATGGACATTCAAAGGAGGAGTGTTATGGAAAAATCTGATTTGATCGAATGTCCGCATTAATATGTATTATTCTATTCACAATTAAGGAGATATGATTCTGTAATATTTAGTATTAATGACAGGTGATTCATTTCACATAGTTTGATCCCCTACTTCTTGTATAAATAAAGAGCTCATTTATGCTTCAAAACACATCTGAATACAAGTCTCTTATCTCTCTCTACTCTCTTGTTTCTTCTCTTTCGTTCTTATGCTTAGTTCATATTAGTAGTTTTTTTATTTATTTTATATTAATAATGAGTAGTTCATAAAATGCCAGAATGGTGACTCTCATGCAAAGATCAATTAGGATCTACTGATATTTCTTGTTTAAACCTGCAATTCAAAAGTTCGGATGCTAAAGGGTTATCAATTCAATAACATGACAATTTTGTGCAAATACATCAAAGTAATTTAACCTAAACTAACCCAAAAGCAATTATTAATAAATCAAATAAATTCCATCATTGAAGATCAATCAAATTGAAGCAAAGGACTAAATTTTGACTATGGTTTTAGAAGATCACAACAATAAATCCCCCTCCCCAAAAAAAAAAAAACTCCTCAGGTTTAAAGCCCACCCGTTCAAATATTTCCCAAACCCACTTCAAAAAAATGTTCCCAGTAGATGCTGCAGAGAGTAGAAAAGGAGATCCAAATCAAAGAAATAGAGCAACAAGGGGGGGCAACCACAGATAAGGGAAGAGAGTGAAAGATTAATTCATTTGACTTTCATTAGGGTAAGGGATTTCTTTTTTACCATGGATGCTAAAAAGTGTCCTGACAAAATCATGACACTTTTTTTAATCTTCTATTATTCTTAAATGTAAACATGTGGATTTTTTTCCAAATACCACAATAATATAGTGATCATGATAATATAGTGATCATGTGGATCTATTACACGGTAAATCTATTCTTAGTCGGAATCGTCTAATTGTGTCTAACTTTTTTCTTTTTCCCTTGATTCACATATTCTTCACACTCACAATATACGCATATACAATCAAGTATTAGAATGTTTTTTGCTGTTTTGTAGGTTTTAGGCTTTTAGGTTGATGATCGCCGGCCGTTCTAGAGTATCGTGCTGTTTTCGACTTCATCACAAAAATACCATTACACAAGTTGTTTGTTACAAGGAGTGGCCTTAAGTTTGCCTTAGAAAATAATCTACTATGAAAATATAAATCTCAACAAACTTTTCAAAAACAAGATGACATCAACACGCTAAAAACTGGGCTCTACAGTCTCTAAACACACATAGTCATGGTGGTGGGCGCCCACCAACACCTCTCTTTCCTTCCCTCCCTTTGGCTTTCTTCCCTCATCTCTCAAAAGCCAAACCAACAACAAATGCTTCTTTGTCATTTTCCCACCGTCCGTCAAACCCCTTCAATCCACCCACCTTCTCCGATTCTCCTTCACGTTCGTACAGAAAAAACCGTACTACCGGAGAACCACCACTAACGTACGTGCTTCCAAAAACCCCCCATGTAACCATTTCCGATTTTTACATGCAGTGAAGAAGGTTCCCATCTTTTGGAAAGCAGCCAACTTTTTATTATCCTGACTTATCTACATAACTTTTTTCTTGGATTTTCCCTCTTCCTTTATCACCCTTTTGTCTTCGAAATTAGATTTTGTTCGGCCTTTGTAGGATTTGCAGTGGTATTAGGGATTGTATATATGGTAGTTTTTCTGCCTATCTTGCCAAGACAATCGTTATCCCTTCCAGTCTTTCAGGGGGTCCATGATTTTTTTACAGTTAGCAGAAACCCGAAGAAGAATGGTTTTTTTACCGAGAATTTTCTTCTGGGATTTCATTGTTTGAGTGTGTATTGCCTAGAATTGAGTGAATCAGCATCCGGGTTCTCACTAATTTTGGGTTTCCGACGCTTAGAAAAATGGCCCAGAAGAGACAGCAACAAGAAGCTTGCCCTGATGACAGTGGTAGAAAAGCTCCTTCACTTAGAAGGTGATTTTTTTTTCCCTATCACATATCGTTCATTGTTGTAATTATGAATTGCAAAATCGTGTATGTGTTTTGTTCTTTGGTAAATGTTTGGTTTCGATGTGATCTTAGGCAATCAGGATGCCAGTGAGGAGTAGCTATTTAGAAAGATAATTTTATCCCTCCTTTTTTATGGGATTACGTGTTTTAATGGAAAGCTAATACCCCTCCCTTTAGATGATGCAACTTATGGAATTACTTATACCTCACTTTAGAGGATGCAATTTATTTATTTATGTGTAGTTATGTGGTTCCTGACTTACTGTTGGTATGAAATCTAGTGTTGTCATGGAGGTAATGAACTTGCGCAAATTCCAACGGTTAATTGAGCCAGCTCTGGAGCCAATGATCCGTAAAGTTGTAAGCTGCCTCCCCCAAACAGTCTATTGCTCTTTAGTATTTACTGTTCTGTACTTTTAAGTTTCTAAGCACTATCCAGATGATAATTGCCTGTTGAATTTAAATGATTGTGTGTCAAAGTTTGTATTCACCATGGAAATCGCAATGTAGAGAGTAGGCATCATGAATTATCATCTGTCTTTCCAAGTAACATGCATGTGGTTAGCCCGTTAATTTTTTGGATTTAGTTATCCCACAATTTGTATCTGTTCCAACTTTGCTCATATAATCATTTGAAGATAGACTCAGGGTAAGAAGGAATAAAATGAATCCCAATAATGTGGAATGGAAATTGTATGGTAGACTGTAGATGATTCGATCCCTTTATATGCTTACTGTGATTTTATGGATTGGATGAAATATCTTGACAAAGTTTAATGAATTCTATCTGTGTTTCATTTTAGAATACATGATTTAAGTCCTGCATAGTGGTCGTAGAACATAGAGGGTAGGTTGTTTTTTAGGTTATAACGCAGCAGGGATTATCAAGACTTGAAAGCAAGAACATTATGAAAATCACAGTAAGCAAGAACCACCTGCAATCGATCATAGGGACCCATAGGACGTAAAGATTGAGTTGCACCTCACAAATGTAGAAGGACAACACTCTGTTGCATGGAATTTTATTTCGTAAACTCTAGTGTTCATTTTTCATAGAGTATAAAAACAGAAACCTAAGCACCCAGTTTCCTATGGTAATAATTTCTGAATCTCTAAAACTGAAACTAAACCTAGTAATGCTTACAGCGAAAAACTCTTTAGATAAGAAACTATCCTTACTATTGGAAAATAGAAAGTAGAAACTACTGAAAACAACACATGATTCCCTGCTTTTAAAACTTTACAAAGAATTTCTTGACAAATGTTATTCCAACACTTTGTTCTTCCTGGGATCGGATGATCCTCACTATTAAAGAAGAACTTAGTTGATCTCTTCTGCTCTTTCTTGTTCGCAGCAATTCATGGGAGAGAATTTTGTTGTTGGTTCATGTGTTCTTTTGAATGAACTCCTATTTTTATTAGATTAGTACTCTTGCTTAATGGACTTATTTTCTTATTGCTCCTTTCTTATTATATATTTGCTGTGGTCTTGAATTTATGCTTCAAAAGCTAGACAATCTCATTTGTGCAGATTAACTTGAATGATAGCTTTAATGAACTGTTGATTATCACAAAGCTGTTAAAGAACTTTTTGGTGACTTTCTCTTGAAGCAGACAATTTGTTGGCCACACGGATGAATACTTTGATTTTGTGTTGATTGATGGAAGTGAATAAAATGGTTGTGTTTGATATTATTGTTTTTATTGCTGATGTTCTTGTATCCTTGTAGATATTACTCTGTGCTGGATGGTTTTTATTAATTTTTTTCTCACTTGCTATGCCTTATTAGTTTAATGTGCTTGGCCAAACTAGTTAACATATCAGGGTGTAATGAGGTTGTTCCTTATTGACTTCAGAAATCATAGATTAAAATTAAATTAATGCTATCTGCAAGGAAGCAATTATAACTCTTTCACCCTATTCCCCTTCTTAATTTTCTTCATTACCTGAACCCACTGCCATTGTATTGATTTGTGACATTAAACTCTCAGGTGAAAGAGGAAGTTGAGTTGGCAATGAGAAAGTATTTGATCAATATGAGGCGGTAAGCATTTCATGTCATACTAAGTCCAGTATTTAACTTGTGGCCAAGCACCTTCATATACGCTGCTCACTTTATGTTTCTATTTTCATATGCTAGTTGTGGAAGAGAGTTATGCTCTTCTGAATCGAGAAGTTTACAGCTGCAGTTCCTGACTACCATCTCTCTTCCTGTGTTTACTGGAACTCGTATAGAGGGCGAGGATTGTAACAATTTGCAAGTTGCTCTGGTCGATGCTCTTAACGGGAAAATTGTTTCACTCGGTCCTCAATCCTCTGCAAAAGTCGAAATAGTTGTTTTAGAGGGAGATTTTGATAGTGATGAAGGAGAGCATTGGACTTATGAAGATTTTAAAAATAATATTGTAAGAGAAAGAGAAGGCAAGAAACCCCTTCTCACTGGAGATGTATTTCTCACACTTAAAGAGGGCACTGGTGTTGTCAGTGACATTTCTTTCACTGACAACTCAAGCTGGACGAGAAGTCGCAAGTTTAGGCTGGGAGCAAGGATCGTAGAAAATTTTGATGGAATCAGGGTTCGGGAGGCCAAAACAGAGTGCTTTATCGTCAGAGATCACCGTGGAGAGTGTAAGAGTTCTAACTGCTTAATATTTTCCATTCTGTTTCTCCTCTTTTTTCTCTCTTTGGTAACATGTGACGCTGCATTTTGATATTTCTTATAGTTGAGTTTTAATAGGAAACAATTCCATGTAGACCTTCGGGGCCTGAAAAAGTTTCTTCGTTGTTTTACAATTTTATTGTACTTCCATCCTGTTACTGCATGTCATAATTTGTGATGTGATACGAGTTGATAATCCGATGTGAATAGTTATTTAGATTCCCATGTGCTTAAAGATGTTTAGGAATATTATTTGGTGATAGATGTGTGTTTGATAAGCTTGACCTGGATCTTTTTCCTCTCTAGTGTACAAGAAGCACCACCCTCCATCGCTGACAGATGAAGTATGGCGGCTGGAAAAGATAGGGAAGGATGGAGCTTTTCACAAACGTCTGAACAAGGAAAGAATCAGAACTGTGAAGGACTTCCTTACTTTATTTTACATTGATCCTATACGGCTACGAAATGTAAGATTCCATGTAACTGCTGATCTCTTTTGATTCGATGCAGTGCGATCATCTTAACTTAGCATCATTTCTCATTTGTATTCCGCTTTTTAATTTTTTTTCTTTTAATTCATTTTTTTAAATTTTTTAATTTTTTTTCTGTAAGAAATCTGAGACCCCGCACATTCTTTTCCTACTTATAATTAAATTTTCTGAGCTTGGTAGTTGGATATGATTTCATTCCATACATCTCATGGCCTGTTTCTTTTGCACTTAAAGTAGTCCACATTTACAACGGGGCAACTGCATGGCTTTCATGTCTGCTTGTTGTAGTTATCAATCTGATTACAGATTTAATATTTTGAATCCATGTCTAATGACAGTTCCAATTGATGAAAGCTTTAATATTTTAACACTCTAAAAATAAAATCTGTAGATCCTCGGAACTGGCATGTCCACGAAGATGTGGGAAGTCACAGTGGATCATGCCCGGACGTGCATATTGGACAAGGAGTTGTACTTGTATTATCCATCTGGATCTCAGCCGAAGAAGGGTGTTGTTTTCAACATTGTTGGACAAGTAATGGGTTGCGTCTCTGATTGTCAGTACATCACCAATGAAAAGCTTTCTGAAGTTGAGAAGGCATGACTTACCTTCATCTTTTCTTATTTTAGCTTTTAGCTCTGAGAAACTATTGATTGCCTACTTTTTCGGTTAATGTCTAATATTTGTGCAGGCTTGTGCCCGTGACCTTGTAGTTTGTGCTTACAGGCACTGGCCAGAAGTGGTTAGCATTGATGACGAGGCATCCCTCATGGACGGCTCTCTATTTTTGTCTACTATAGAGTTCTCCTCAAACCCTTCGTTGCTGTTTAATTCTGATGGCAGCAAGGTTTTGAATTCTCATAAGAATACCAAATGTGATTATCCAGAGCCTAGTAACAGTTCTCCTGATATCTTGCCATCCTTGTATTCTCTTTCTGGTTTGACCAACCTAGATGAGTATATCTTGCCCAATATCGACTCTATGGATATTGGGCAACCTCTGAGCATCCAAGGGCAAGTTGCAAACAACATTCTATGTGACACTGACTCCATGGCTCGAGCTTTCTATGATGATGAGCATCTGCAATTTTTTGATCATGATTGCTCTCTCCAGACTTCAACTTTGGGATCATCAGCGGATCTGCAAAATGCTGTGAGTGGCTTTCTTTCTGGTACAGTTCACTATAAAGCTCAGATGAGATGGAAAATGTTGTTTTGTGTATTGAGATGGTTCTCAGTAAGAAGGAAGGTTGCAAGAAGGTTGCATTAAGGAGAATTAAACAAGAAAAGAATAAAGGTTATCTTTTTAGCTCAAATTGCTATCAAGTAATTCAAATACCAGTATCTGAATTAGTAGTAGCTGATAGATAGATGTTGCTGCCCAAATGGTTTCTGCGTGCAGTTATAGGTTTTGTAGATGTACATTGGCTTTGCACAGATACAAGGAGTTAATAAGAAGTGATGTTTGCTTGAGACTGAGCTGTAGTATACCTACATTTTGTAGGTTTTTCTGCATCCACAGACCAAGTTGTACAAAAACGCTTTTGCGACGATCATATTGTATTCTACTGGGAAAGAGTTACGAGTCCTTCTGCATATGTTCTTTTGGGTTAATGACATCAAAGTCTGAGATTGTGTAAGTTCCGGGCTCTAGAGTGTATCCTTGCATTTGAGTGGTATTAAGAGTAGGCAACATCCTTTTGATTGCTAAAACCTTCGATATTGATATGGAAAATCATCAATAAGTGAGATTGCGCAGTGAAATATGATGCAAAGCCAATGAATGGTGGCTGCATAAGACAACATTTTCTATCATTAATGATGAACTGGAACCGTTTGTTGATGATACATAGGTTGCTGAATCAACCAACACAATAAGCAAGATACTAAAGTGTATTTAAGATTTGAGTTTTAGAGTTAGCAACACGCTTTTGAGCGGCAAAACCAGTGTGAAGGTCGGAAACATGATACAGGCGGGAAAGGTTGTTTGCATTTTCTTGTCAAGTTGTACAACAGTTAAAAGAACACAAACGGAACAATACAATCATTTCGCAACTGAGTAGGAGGGAGGAACACAACAAATAGTCTTCAATGTTTCAGTGTTTTGTTTGGGCTATAAAGATGGTAAGGACCCAACTCGATTGGCATTAATTGAAGTTTTAGTTTGAATAGCAAGTGGAGTCTTAAGTTGTTTTGGGGGATGAAAGTTTGGACTAAATTTGTTAACCTAAAATTTCAGGGTGAATGTTTGTTCTCTAGGGTAAAAGGAAAACATATAAATTCGTAAACCAAAGAGATTCTATAAAATACAACATGCATTTTCATATTAACAATCCGACCAGACAATCTTATAAATTTCCTGAAATGTGTCCAACCACAGATTAGATTTCCATTAATTTTGATTAAGCAACTTTATTTATATTTTTTCATATTGCCAAAAAAATACAATGTTATGAGAGTTTTATAATTTTTTCTTCTCTTTTATTTTGATATATTACGGATTCGATGTCTAAAGTCATTATTTGGACTATCTGGACTCGAGTCAAGTAATTTCTTTTTAAGAAATAAATCTCTTACCAAAAAAGTTTCATAATTAAATTAGTTCAATGAGTTTTGAAGGGTATGTTGTCCAACCTCGATCGGTATCGAAACGTGTTCTACCAAATCCAATACTGGCTATGTCAAACTTTGCCCAATTCATATTGTCTACCAAATCCAATTTCCACCCCTAATCACATCAATTTTTTATTTCCATACATGCCAGGAATATCTTCGCAAGAGATAGCTAATTTGTTTTTTTCCCTTAAAACTATCATCCTTATTTTTTTACAACATTTGTAATCTTCTAAACGAGGATATATATCTAGCACGCTCAAATCAATTCTCAATCAACAAAGCAAGCGGGACAGCTCGCAGCGCCCGTGCCTTTTGCAATGTAAAACCAAACTTCTCCTCCATGTCTAACTTCTCCGGCGCAATGCCGCCTTCGAGTTTCCAATCAAACACATTTAACAGCGATCCAAGTACCACCGGAATCATCTTCACGGCCAACGACAATCCGGGACAAATCCTTCTTCCAGCTCCGAAAGGAATTAACTCAAAATCTCGCCCTCGAATATCAATCTCTGATTCCAAGAACCTCTCGGGTTTAAACGCCAAAGCATCAGTACCCCAAACGTTTTCATCACGGCCAATGGCCCAAGCATTCACCAGAACTTGTGATCCTCCGGGAACAATGAAGCCCAGCAACTCAACATCTCGCTCTACTTTTCGCGGAACCAAGAATGGTACGGCCGGATGCATCCTCATTGTTTCTTTCACTATGCATTGCAAGTAAGGCAATCGAGGTAAATCAGTTTCCTCAATTTGCTTGCCTCTCCCAACTGTTTCCGCAAGCTCTGCTTGGGCTCTCTTTAAGGTCCTTGGATTTCTCAGCAATTCTGTCATTGCCCACTCTAATGTGCTTGAAGTTGTATCTGTCCCTGCTGCAAATAAATCCTGCAATATATATACAATCAGAGAGTTAGAAAAAAAAAAATTCCTGCAATAGAAGATGCTAATTATTTGATCATGTGTACATGAGTGTCAACGATGTTATTCCCTCGAGTCCTTATGGTAAGGCATTTTGATTTGTCCAAAATTTTACTTAGTGTATTGTTTCAATTATAAAAAAAATTAAAAATATCTTCTAATAATTAGGAGCTCGTAAAAATATAGTTTTAAGGGTTTTTTCTAATTGAAAAAATATATTGAGTGAAATTTATGAAAAATCAAAATACTTTATAAGCAGGACCAGATGAATATTAAATTACTATATTAATCTCTTGAAGGTGAATCAAGATTATCTAGGACAACCACTAAAATAACAGTGTAGTGAAACTAAAAGTACTATCTCCATTCCAGAGAAATAGTTCATTTCGATGATGTAAAATAGTACGTACAGAGAGGACTATTTTTGCGGAACGGAGAGAATAAAAGACAAAGGGTACTAACCAAGAAAATGTGTTCAATTAAATTTCTGTCAAATTCCTCTGGAGCTTCTTTACTGAATGCAAGCAAATCATCCAGGACATCTTTGCTAATTCCAAATCCAGATTCTCTGCTCTCTGACAATCTTTCAGTGATGATCCCTTTAAACATCTGAAAAACCTTGCTGAAATGTGAGCTCATTCGTCGCCGATTCCCCTGAGGATCGAGCAGACGAAGCAGGGGGAAGAAATCGACAACATTAGGCGTTCCGGCTTCCACCATGATATCCCAAATCACATTCTTGAACTCTTTAGCTGAATCACTAAAAGGGTCAGTCAAATCCTTGGAGAAAAACAGGTTGGACAGCAAATTCAACGATGTCCTGAACGCAGCTTGTCCGATATCCACAGCTTCCCCTGTTTCGCAACTCTTTTGAACATACGCCATCAAATCCTCAACTTTTCTGCTCCTCAGCTGCAGATTAGCATCGATTCGGTTGGCTGAGAAGATGTAAGAATTTAGTATTTTCCGAAGACTCCTCCAATTGCTGTTTGCGGGCAGGAAAACGACGGAATTCCGGGAATGGTTGTCGGCGGTGACGGCGTCGGGGACTGATCTGGTGCAGAAATCCACGTCCTGTTTTTGGAGAACTTCTTTGGCGGCGGAGGAAGAAGAAATCACCACGGCAGTTATTTGTCCGAGCTTTAGATTCATCACGGGGCCATGGTTCTTGGCCAGTTTTGCTAGAGATTTGTGGGGCTGGTCGCCGAGCAGGTGGAGGTTTCCGATGATCGGAAAAGGTGCTGGTCCCGGCGGATGACTTTGTCGTGTTTTCTTTTGATGTAAGAAGAAGATTGGTGATGATGATACAGATGATCAAAATGAAAGAAGGAAATACTACCAACCAAACAACATTGGTGAGGATAGTATTCATTTTTGCCTCTGTTAAGAGTTTGAGCCAAGAGAAATTACAGTATATATATATACTAGTGATATATTGCGCGACCCTGGTCCAATATATCTGTACATCTTAGAAATATTAGTATCTGGAAAAAAAAATATTTTGTATTTAACTCGATATATTTTAGAAATGTTTGAAAATTTTAGAAATGTTTTATAAGTATGATCATAGAAATATTTGTATTTGGCATAAAAAGAAATTGTATTTGACCCAGTACGTTTTAGAAATGTTTGAAGATTTTAGAAATGTTTTATAATTGTTATTTCTTAAATATAAATAAACTTGATCAAATATATGTCTTGAATTAAATGCTAGACAAAATATAAAAGCATCCTAATAAGTTTAAATATTAGTAAGATAATTTATTGATGTTCTCCGGTTGTGCCAAATCAATACATAGTTTTGGAGATTTATAATAGCTTTGTAGTAAGCTTCCTCCCAAGGGTATATGCTTAATTGTTAAAACTATTTCTTCCAAAAGTTTATAAGAAGTAAAATATCAAAAATATGATTTTGAAACTGGTTAATCACAAATATGAGAATGAAAATAATGTAAATGCATAGGTTTGAAGTTATACCAAAAAAGAACTCACCTCACCATGGCAAATAAAAAAAAAAGAAAGTAAAAGATAGCCCATTTATAATTGAGAAATTTATTTTTTTTCTATAGGTAAAAATGTTGTATAAAAATACAAATAAACGTAGAAACATCATTCTTTCCCTCTTCGCTTCAAATTCATAAAAGGCTTCCTCAAAAATTAGTTAGAAGAAGTGACCTGAACTATTTAGATGATGAGAAACTAAAAAAGGTCTAAAAACCAAAATTCAAAAAATATATTCTTGAAAGCTCGAACGAAAAAAAAACGCGCTTTATTTGCAAATAAAATAAAATAATAATAATAATAATTGGTCAACTGGGAGTATAAAACAAAATAAAAAACAATTAAACAAAGAAAAAACACACTTCGTAACTGACAATATACGGAAAAAAACTGAGACTCCATAATTAAAAAAAGAAATCCACTCTAATTGAATGAAACATTAAAAAGAAATTTAAAAAACCACACTTTGTAACAAAAACTCAATTAATCAATTCAATCCAAACAGAACTAAAATCATACAAAACTTCTAGGCTAACTAACTATATAAGAAATCACATCATATTACCTGACAACGGCTACGGTAGCTGTAACGGATGGACGCATAAAAATAATAGTAATAATACTATTCTTGAACGGGAAAAACAAAAAATAATAAAAGCCAAACAAATGATCTGTGGAAATAAAATCATTTAAATTTTAATACTTGTAATTGCACCACCACAACGGCCGAAGCAAGATCAATAAGAATTTTTTTTTCCTTTGTGTTTATATAGAAAGGTAAAGAGAATATTTTTTGAAGTCGAAATTTTATCTGATCAGGATGTAGTTGATCATCACTAATGAAAAGATTGAACATACTAATAGAAAATAAGTATATTTCACCACATATTCTCAATTGATGATTGATGAGGAATTTTTTTTTTTTTTTATTGTGGAGAAGAGATTGATTAGGGGTCGATTGTCGTGGAGATGGGGACGAGGATTTGGGTCTTTTTATGAACCCGTCTTTCTTTTTTTGTTTTGACAAAAATAAAAGGTGGAGGTGGATTTGGACTGCATTTGTCTTTTAAGTCTAGGAGATGTGAAAATAAAGATTTATTTTAAAAATATGATGTGGAAATGCCACATGACAAATGGTGGTGCTTTCTCTTAAGTGTGGTTTTTGTTTCTAATATAGTAAGATATATATATATATATATATAATAGATTTTTTTGTCCGCGGGAACCTTTGTACATATATGTAACAATTTCAGAAATTTATAAACGTTATGTAATAAATAAAGAAAGAATGGTGTAGTTTAGATTTAAATCATATCAATTAATTTTTATACTTTTATTTGGATATTTATGTATTTAAGGTGTTCTTAAAAAGAATCTACTTACGGTTAGTGAGATACTTTCTCTGTCCAAAAATAATTGTCTAGTTTAGAATTTTATTTTTAATCTAATTTTAATAAAAGTAACATTTCTATAATTTTTTCCTACTCTGTTCAAAATAAAAATCTTTCAGAAAAGTAAAATGATCAAAACAAAGACAAAATAAGAGAGAAAAGTCGATTATAACTTTGCAAACACTTGAAACTATTTTAACCATAGTGGTTTTGGTTGTAAATTTGTGCTTTAATGCGATTATCAACATAAGTTTACATTTTTAAAATAAAAGAAATCTAACTTTTGTAAATTTTCAAATTGTTCGGTTATATTTACATTGAAATAATATATCCTTAATAATACTTTATTTCCAATCCTACTAAGGTGTAACATCTTCAAAATTGATTGGAATATTTTAAGAATTCTAATAAAATATTATCCGATGTTTAGAAATTGTACTCATTTTGCATTTTGTGCCTGTGAACCTTTATATTTTGTACTCCCTGTCCCAAAAAAAAAAAAAATTCAACTTTAAGTTTTAAAATTTATGCTAAAAACAGTACAAATTTGAAAACTCCATGTGGACTATTTTTATGAGACGGGAGTAATATTTCTTTTAGTGCTTATTATATTTGATTTAGTACTGCACATTGTTTTCACCGAAGCATAATATAAGTACATAATTCAACTAAAAATTTAGACTAAATGAATTTTCGCCCGAAATATTACTAAGTGCATACAAAAAAATTGGAGAAATAAATCTTTTAAATATGTTATGTAAATATTTCTAAGTGACTCACAATTTCCAAGATACTTATCCTTAATGAGTTACGGCTGTAGAAGATTGCGGGTTTTGGAGGCTTTTTGGAAAATGAAAATAGGTTACATTAAATGACAAAATTACACCTATTAACTAATGAAAGGACGACGACTACGTCGAACGAAGCAACCTAGCCTCCACACTTCATAATAGGAATAGGAATTGGACCGGATATAGCAGTTAAATACTTGCTCGTATGCGCATAAAAATGTACATTTCACTCTTTTCTTTTCTTTCTTTTTTTTTCTTTTTACTTTTTCTTCTCAAAATTACACACTCAATGTCTGAAATGAGTCAAATAATTATTCTGACTTATCTCCGGACCTAAGGCGAATAAGTTTCTTAGAGGAGAAAAAATCTTTGTTGTACTTTTTTTGAGAGAACCAACTCATATATTTCATTAATAGAAGAAATACACTTTTTAGTATAATTTGGAAGATTAAAAGCCACAAATTAGATGAATCGATATTTCAAATTGAAAATATGAGACTTTGAATAAGTACCATGTGTACTTGTTAACTTCATAATAATTTGAAACTTTGAATAAGTATCATGTGTATTTGTTAATTTCATAATAATTTGAAACTTGGAATAAGTACCATGTGTATTTCTTGATTTTATAACAATTTGAAACTTTGAATAAGTACCATGTGTATTTTTTTAACTTCATAATAATAATTTGTAGATAATAGGAATCTTGTTAGTCTAGCATTAATATCTTCTTATTTTTCAAAATAAGACTATTTTCGTAAAATGGAAAAAAGTAAAATATAAAGACCATCTTCAGTGTACCCGGAACCACCATGGTCCCCTCCTATTTTTTGCATTATTAATCCTTATTGTACTTTTTCTAAATAACTTTCTATATTTTGCAAATTTAGCTCCTCTTACTTTTTTTTTCTCTCTTCTAAAAAAACATCTCTAATCGTTAAATGAGCATAACTCATGATCCGTAAAGAATTTGTGAATGAATAATATATGAAATTTATAGTACTCGACGAGATCTATCCTTTAAGATCAATATCGAATATTAAATTCAAAAAATAAAAAAATTAAAATACTCAGGAGAGAACAGAAAAAAGTATGTGCGTCTATTTTTTTGTATTGACTATCAAACCGTTTTGTATTGGTTATTCAATCATTTTCACTGATTATCTAAACAAAAATTTTTTTTCTTTCTTTTGAAAAAATATATGTCCAATGTGTTCATACTGATTATCCAACTTCTTGGTGATGGTTACCCAACCTTTTTTTTCTTTTTTTAATAAAAATGATTGACCAAATTTTTGCACTGACTATCCAGCCGGTTTATAATACTTATCCAATTATTTTCACTGCTTATCCAAACTGAATTTGTACTTTTTGTCCAATGGGTTTTTTTTTTTTTTTTGAGAAAATGTATATCCAATATATATGTTTGTACTGATTATCGAACTTATCGGTGATGGTTATCTGACTTTTTTTTTCTTGTACTTTTTTGAAAATGATTGTCTAATTTTTAATACTGATTATTCAACCAATTTTTACTCCTTATCCAATTATTTTTACTGGTTATCCAAATAATTTGTAATGGTTATCCGATCATCTTTTTTTTTTTTTGAAAAAAATAGTTGTCTAATGTTTTCATAATGATTATCCAACCGGTTTGCACCATTTCTCTAACCATTTTTTTTCTTTTCCTTTTTATGAAAATCATTGTCCAGTTTTTTGTTCTGACTATCCAACCGTTTTGTATTGGTTATCCAATCATTTTTACTGCTTATCCAAACATGGTTTGTTATGTTTGTCTAATATTTTTTTCTTTCTTTTTTTTTGAGAAAATATTTATTTAATATGTTCATACTGATTATCCAACTTTTTTTTGTAATCGTTATCCAACCTTTTTTTTCTTTCTTTTTTATAAACATAATTGTCCAATTTTTTTATACTGATTATTCAACTAGTTTGTATTACTTATCCAATTATTTTTACTGCTTATCTAATGTGTTTATACTGATTATCCACCATTTTGTATTGGTTATCCAACTTTTTTTACTAGATTGTCCAAATAAATTTGTACTACTTGTCTAATCATTTTTGAATTATCAACAATAACCACCCCCACCCTTAATAACATGATTGGCCTTTCAGAAATCAAATTTAATTTGATCTCCATTGGTTTAATCTTTGTTATTGAGATATTGACAGAGTTTT